CGTGGTGAATATCTGAAAGCAGAACACGTCAGGTTTTAATTAAGACGAGAGCGGCGGTGATTACACAATGCACAGGTGAAATAAGAGTCTCCCCTCCGATTCCCGAGCAGAAGCGTGAACTACAATTGAATGGAGGGCCCTCGCTTCAGGTCGCTTCTCTGGGTCGTTTTCAAGGCATGAGTGGGACGGTGGCCACGGGCCCTGATACAGTGATGCTGCGACACACCCCTTTCCTTCAGGAATGTAGGGGCGGGAGCTATTAAAAGTAAATGTAACAGAACTGTAAAGTTACAGAAGAATGGATGTTTGCAGCCTGTGTGAGGGATAGATATCAACATGAAACATCACGTGGGTTAATACTGGGCAACAAGAGGAATCTTCCCCTGGAGTCTAGATGCTGGTGGTGAGGAACGTCTTCATGAGGGAAACCTCTGTTTAGATGGTTTGATTGGAGATGGTCTGGCGTCCATGGTTGAGGCGGAGAAGGGGTGGAGGTGGCTCTCAGATTCTTCACGGCGCTAAAACAACAGCTTAATGACAGCAGAGAGAGAGAGAGAGAGAGAGAGAACAATTGGGGGAAGACATGCACGATGAGACAGTCTTCCTGACTGAACTTTCACTAAGCTTTTTCTGCCTCACTATACTATGACATTTCCACTTTTCTCGCCTTACTATGCTGTGAATTATTCCGCCGTTTGTGCGCGTTAGTTTGAACATGTTGCGGAAACTTTACAAACATTGCTGCCTCAGCTTCGTGCAACATTTCAGCGTCATGGCTCCTGTGTAGTATCCTTGCCACTTGGACATTTCTCGTGTAAAGCTGGTGTATTCTTATGAAATGTAGCTAACACTGATTGCCTGTCTTCTTACAGAATCTGGAGGTGACCAGTTCCACAGGCTGGATTGGACGGGTACGTCCTGTACACTTTTTTTAAGGGGGAAAAACAGCAGTTCTTTACTAACAGGCCCAAACCAAAAATGAATGTTTCCAAAGCTTCTAAAGTTTATTTTGACTGAATTCCACATAGAGTATCCTGCTGCCACAAATACTGTCTACAGCACCAAATGGTAGAGAGTCCGCTGCTGAAAATATTCTCCAATAAATGTAGTTTCCACCTGTTTGAGTAGCATGTCTGTTTTAAAAAACCACTGAGCCTTTTCCTTTAAAATCAACTTAACTGCACTCAAGAATATTCTGGTCCTTCCCAGTTCTCTCCACCAGAACCAGTTTTTGCTGCAGACAAGAACAGTTATTACCTATTGATGAGTGACCCCAAAGGCTACAAGCACATCCATCATGTAGAAGGGGTAGGTAGCATGATTACTTTGGTATTACATTGGCGAGTTCAGCAGCCATATCCTACCTAGTTTACTACAACACGTCGCCACCCACCCACCCACACTGAGCTCTGCCTCTTTCAAGCAGGGAAAAGCTGCACAACTCACCACTGGAGACTGGGAGGTCATTAACATTCTGAAAGTCACTGCAGATAGTGTGTAAGTTGGGATTATCTGTAATAAACACTGTATATACACCTGCAGAAATAATCACATGCATAATGCATTGGTGTATGACTTGTTATTTCCAATGATTACGATGAAGAATCAGAGAAAATGTCCCGTTCTTCCACAGATACTATACAAGTAACGAGGATGGCAAAAGGCCAGGAGGAAGGAACGTTTACAAGTAAGAGCTGTACTGTACTTTTGCTTATTTGTTGGCATTATTTCTGATTGAAAATGATTTCCTGACACTACTCACTGTGTATCAGGTGGACCAAACAAGGAACCACTTGTCTGACTTGTTCATTACATGGAGAAAAATGTCATTATAACTCAGCTTACTTCAGCCACAACGCCTCCTTCTACCGTATGAGCTGCAGTGGTGAGTTCACTTCATCCTCTGGCTCTTGCACCCCACCACTCTCTGGATAAAATAATACTAACGTCATTTGTATTCAAAGGTCCGGGCATTCCTTACCACTCTCTCATGGATAACAGGAATAATAAAGGTAGGTTACAGATGTGGAATTAAATCTGAAATAAAAACAAAGAGCCAGAAAACATTTATCTCTAATGACACGTCTGTGTTTTTGTATTTGTAGAGAAGGAAGCTTTGGAGGACAATAAGGCTTTTAGCGACCTCATATCCGACATCAGAATGCCCACCATGCGTCGTGGCACCATCAAAGTTGGTGGTTACAGTAAGTGAATTCAATACGACTAACCGACAATTAACATTTAATCTCCTCCTAGGAAAAGTTCACGCTCTCATCCTGCACTTCCAGTATGATAATATCTATGTACTGTTGAATACATGGTGTAAACTTCCGTCTGCTTCCTTTACACTGACAGATCTCTGGTACCAGATGTTTCTGCCTCCAGGCTTTGATGAGTCTAAGAAGTACCCTCTGCTGATTGATGTGTAAGAATTTATCCAAAAAAATAAAAGAATTATAAAAGTGAAAGGGTTATGAGCTGATACTGAGTTTGCCCAACCTTTCAGGTACGCAGGTCCCTGCAGCCAGAAAGCCGACTACGTCTACAGGGTGAGCTGGGCCACTTACCTGGCCAGCACTGAGAAAATCATCGTAGCCAGCTTTGATGGAAGAGGAAGCGGTTTCCAGGGCGACAAGTTAATGCATGAAATCTACAAACGTCTGGGAACCTATGAGGTGGAAGATCAGATAACAGCAGCCAAGTAAGGAATAAAACAGCTTCACCCTTTTCCCAGGAAAGCTCGTTAAAACTGGATCTTACATGATCTTACATCGCTGAGTGATGACGACCATCACCAGTCCTTCGCTGATCGAGTTTAGATCCTCGTTATCTCCTGCCCTCGTCTGAATAATTCTCTGTTTTGTTTTGATTTTTAGAGAATTCATCAAAATGGGCTTCATTGACAAAGACAGAGTTGCTATTTGGGGCTGGGTGAGTAGTTTCATAGTTCAGAGGGCAATAAACGGCTCTAAAAGTAAGTTAATGTTTCACCTTGCTGTCAGTGTGCTTGAACTTTACTTAAGACAAAGAGATGAGCTACAGTAACGAGCCGTTTATCTTCCACAGTCTTATGGTGGATATGTAACGTCAATGGCCTTGGGATCTGGAAGTGGAGTTTTCAAATGTGGGATGGCAGTGGCTCCAGTTTCCAAATGGATATATTATGGTAAATAAATATACAAGTTGTTCATGTCGACAACATTTCCAGACCTAGTCCGCTCACTTTAACTAGTCGATTCCCCGTCTGTCTGTTTCAGACTCCATCTACACTGAGCGTTACATGATGGAGCCTTCAGAGAACCCTGACTTCTACGCTGTAAGTTTGACACTCAGTGATAACTCTCCCCTCTCGTATCTGACGGTCATTGTTGGTTATTATACCGGACTTTGCCTGTGGTCACTAATAAACACACATCTGATTGTGTGCAGAACTCAACAGTAACTGCCAGGGCCAAGAATTTCCATTCAGTGCAGTATCTTCTGGTCCATGGAACAGCTGATGGTGAGTTTATGTATTTATGTTTATCTGATGTTTTTTCTACATATATATATTTAATACACTTATACCATGAAATGACATACCCAAAATGTTGTTGTGTCCTCTCTTTTCTGTTTTCTTAGACAACGTGCATTTCCAGCAGGCGGCTGAGATCTCAGAAGCTCTGGTGGACGAGCAGGTGGACTTTGAGGCTATGGTGAGTAATCTGTAAAAAAACAAGAACACAATATGTTTTCATTACGTTTCAAAAGTCATTGTGTGACTTGAAAATAAAAAAGAAATCCAGTCCATTTTTAATGATATGGACGCCATTCTTCCCTCAGTGGTACACGGACAAGGATCATGGGCTCGGGGGCTCGGCCTATCAGCACGTCTACACCCACATGACTCACTTCCTGCAGAGGTGCTTTGCCTGATAATCCACTGGATCACCAACATCCTATTTAAATGTCTCATGTGAATAAAAATATTTTTGGGATAAAGACGTGAATTAATTGTGAATGCAGGTTTGATCATTAATGTTCCAGATGTCGAGGAAACAGTCTTATTTAAAAGTTCTCATTTTCAGCATAAACTTTATACAAAGCGGTCCAAGTCATAACGTCATTCTGCGTCTGTGAAATTTTGTCTTGCATATATTCTGTCAGAAAAAAACTACGGAAGCCCTGAAAGGCAAACAACACAAAACAAACTCAGAATTTGGGGGTTGTTGTTTTCACAGATTAAAAAAAATGAAAACAACTGAACAGTTATCATGGAGAGAATTGCTTTTCACTTGCTTTTCAGGGCGTCCGTAAAAAGCTTGTCTGGATATTAAAACTGAAATAACTGACCTGAAGAATAAAATATTGCACAAGTTGAAAAGTGAAATTGTTCTGTCAAAGTGAAATTGTGCTCCATTAAAAGAGTTTTATATTGTATTAAAGGGTGTAAGCACAGTTTTACTAAATAAAAGGCACTGTTCACTCTTTGTAATGATTGTTTTTCTAAAGTAATAAAGAATTAAGTAATAAAAACTCTTGTTTGAAATGTCACATGCTTTGCCTGACTTTATACAGCTGCGTGTCATCAGCGTAGAAAGGATATGAGACGTGGTATTTCCCTATAAACAGGCTGCAGTGGCCGTAATAAAGATAGGGCCTAAATTGACTCTTGAGCCTTTGTGAGGTCACCATGCCCTTGACCTTTGACCACCAAAGACAAAATCATTCATGCTCCCTGATCTTTGGCGAGCCCTTGACTTTTCGTCTGTTGCCATCATCCGGTCAAGATTTTACTTTCCCTAATACTTTAGTTCATGATTTTCCCATCTGCTGTATTTTGTGTTCAGTGGCAGTTAGCAAGTGTTAGCATGTTAGCATACAGAGTACAGCATCACACAGCTGCTAGCATTGATTTAATAAGGTCACGCTTTAGCCTTTAGCCTTTAGCCTGTTTGTTGTGGATGGAAAAACCTGGGCCCAACTCTGTCAAATACGTCTTTGAGAAGGTGAGTTTAGGTTCATGTGTGAAAATACATCACACCAATAAAGGGAAATGGATTTCAAAACAATGAAGTGCAGTGGGAGGGGCTAACTCAGCGAGATCATTGGATGGGGATGAGATTTTATTTAATAAATTTAGTTGATAAATGTTTTGTCAATTAAGATAGGGTCCAGCATTGACACTATACTGATGATCTCAGTCTTTTTCAGCACTGTATGTGAGAGTCATATAGCAGCATCAGTACATGCACATTTATTTTTATAGAGCGTCAATCTGTATTGGACGATGGCCCTTGTAAAACAGAGATAACTGCCACTGATGCACAAAACGGTCAATATTTCCCATCTTTTAAATTTGATCGGAAAGAATCCACAAATACTGACTCATGTCCCAGATGTGGCAACACACATATCACTTCCCATCATGATGACACAGTAGCACATTAAAGCATCTCCCCTACTTTCTGTTTAACAGGATGAAAAGCGCTTGTTTGATCTTGACACCTAAGTACCAGCTGGCATCACGCATGAACGGCGTCTTTCCTTTCATTTGAACAAATGCTCTGGTCGTTCGTTCGGCCAATGTGCCGGGGGCCGTGTCTAATGGGTTGAGAGTAACAGGTGGATTTGGCAGAGTGGTAAAAACTGGTCCACCTGTGCAGACCCGTCCTCCTCCACCTCGTACAGTATATAAAACCCCATAGTGGGAGAGACGGGTCAGATACAGACACCAGCAACAAGCAGAGGAACTACCTGCACAGAGGAAAGGAAGAAGAAACGGTGAGCTGTCGTTTATTCAAGCTGAACCCACTTATCTTCAGCTTTCTGATCCAAAATGCTTCTTATTTCTTTTTCTTTTAGAGCTATATACGTATATGTGTGTGTGTGTCGTTCTGTGGCGCAGGTTCTAACCATGAAAAGCATCCACTCCCTGGCTGGCATCCTCCTGGTCCTCGGCTTTGTCCAGAGCAGCTGGCAGGTTCCTCTGCACGAGGTTGATGACAGCTCCAGGTACGAATCACATCTTAACTTCGCCTGGTTCACAGGTTCTGCTGCTTTTAGCCACTCTGTATGAAAAAAGAATTATATTTAGAATGACAAGATCGCAATTAACTCGAGGCACATTGATCCAAAATAACAAAATACAAAAGACTAAACCAGTGCATGATGTATTTTACATCCTCTCATTCATTTCTTCCTGAGGTGTGATGATGCTGTAAACGTGGATCATCAAATTCATAAAATACAGAACATTTTTGGAAGAAACTGTAGCAAAGAAACAAATGATAAAGCAAATGTATTTGGAAGATAGAGATGCAGCATTATATCGCCCCAAATAAACATACTACACATGATTTGTCTCTTTGGTGGCTGCAGATTTTATTCTATTTGCAGTAGAAATAGTGAATAAAATGAAATATTTTCTCTGAGTATTGCGAATAATTCAGGCAAATGGAAAGAACTACATACAGTATATCTCTCCTGTGTTTCCTCTTGTATTAAGATAAAATATTACTGGGCTTCACACCATTATTTTTTCATGTTTTCCAACAATAACACCTGCGACTGTTAAACCACAATGAACTGAAATGATCAAGTAAAACGTCATAAATGTGAATGTGTGTCAGAAAGAAATACATGGCAGCTGTTTGTAGTATAAATAAGATTTTTGAACTCACGGCGATTATCATGATCAAACCTTGACCTCCCTGCTGTGCTGCAGTTTCGACGACACACTATCCGAGGAGCCGAGGGAGCTGTCGAGCATGAAGAGACACTCGGAGGGAACTTTCTCCAACGACTACAGCAAATACCTGGAGGACAGGAAGGCGAAGGACTTTGTCCGGTGGCTGATGAACAACAAAAGGAGTGGGTCAGTGTGGAATCAATCTCAATTGTACCAGATGTGAGATTGTGAACAGCTTTGACTTATTTCATTTAAACAATACGACAAGTTCATTTCAAGCTCAGGATGCTAGAATAAACTCAACAGCAGATGTGAAGAAGATGTGCTTTTTACTCAAGTACAAAGCCTACAGAAGTACAGAAGCATTATCAGATAAAAACAGATAAATTAAAAGTACTAATTCTGCTGTAAAGTGTCCCGTGTGACTGATCTATCATTATATATATATATATATATATATACATATGACATTATTGTTTATTGTCAGTGCATAAGCAGCTTCACTGTGGTAGCTCGTGGAGGTGGAGCTAGTTTTGACTTCTTTATATACAGTTAAGTAGCTGAGTCCAGGAGTCAGGATAAATGAACGAAAAGAAAAAGTTCTGTCACTTAAGTTTTTACTTTTCTCTAATTTAAATGTAAATGTTGGATAGTTTGAGCTTCTCTTTACTCATCGACATCTGACGGGGAAGAAGTATCAAGTGCAGAGTAAACGTCTTTACTCTCCAACCACTACTAAACAGGGATACCTCGTTACTTCAAACTCAAAACATAAAAGCTTTTCTGCATTTCAAAATAAGATAAAATATGACCTGTGATGTGACCTGTGTGTCACCGTGTGTTTCCAGCGCTGCAGAAAAGCGACACGCCGATGGGACCTTCACCAGTGACGTGAGCTCCTACCTCAAGGACCAGGCAATCAAAGACTTTGTTGCCAAGCTCAAGTCTGGACAAGTCAGAAGAGAGTAGGCCATCCCTTCTTCCTCCTCCTCCTCTTCCTCCTCCTCCTCCTCCTACAGTACCAAACCCTAATGGCCTTCCTGCCTGTGTCTGATTCCACCGTGACGAGAGAGACAGAGAGATGTTGAGTCAGAGGGGAAAGAGCTAATCAACAAGCTAATCAAATCACCCCCCCCCCTTTCTTTGCTTTTGTTTCTTGATGTTTTCTTGTGTCTGTGCTTCAAAAATAAATCACCTGAACTTCTCGCACTGCGTTGATTGATGTCTTTCACCGTGAGATGATGATTTTGACACCGAACGTGCAGAGAAACAATCATCACAGCGACACAATCACCACAGACAGCGCCGGGGTTTCCACACTGTGGGGGCTTGCTGACCCTTCTGATGGGCAAGAGTTTATATTGTGTGCCTGTGTACGTACTCAGATCTGAGCAGGACAGGTGGGGGGAAGCGCTCAGCAGGAGGCATGTAGATGGAAGCTTCACCAGTGATGTGAACAAGGTGCTTGACTCCATGGCCGCGAAGGAATATTTACTCTGGGTCATGACCTCCAAGCCTTCAGGGGAGAGGTAAAGCCGAGTCACGTGACCTGAGGTGTGTTTTTACCCATCGGGCTCGGTGTGATTGTGGTTTTCTTTCTTTTGCAGTAAGAAAAGACAAGCGGACCAGTGAGCCTGTCCTCAAGGAAGCCCCTCAAAGCCATACACAGGAGGAACAGGAAGCCATACTGCTTTGCATGTTGTAATATCAACACTATTTAAATTCTTTTTTTTTTTTTTTACTTCATTGCTGTATGTGACGCAAAGTGTTTATAGTGCACAGGAGAGAAGAAACCAAATCCAGGGCGTATTTTTTCTACAAATTTAAATTATTTTCTATATTTTTAAGATGAAAACAAGAACACAAACAGTGAAATCTCAGGAAGGCAAGTAGAAAAAACACATGTAGTGCAGTTGGTTTTCATTGTAAATTATTAATCCGCTCTGCAAAAATAAAGATTTTCATTGCGTGTTTGTGGCATCAGTCTCATTTGCAAACTCAGAGCCTCCTCTCTTCTGATTGGCTCACTGACCTGTTGTTACTAGAGCTGCAGAGAGAAGCCTGAGAGAGGAGATGCAAAACTACACTGAGATGGTTTTTGGTTCTTTAAAACCACAAATATATCTTCTTATGGATCAAACACTTCAAAATAAAACACAGCCAAAGTGTAAAATATACTTGGTTACTTTTCTACCCCTCCATTTTACAACCAATTTTACTGAGGGAAAACTGTGAATGCAGGATGTTAACGAGTATTTTTACCTCAAGTAAAGGATCTGTGTGTGTGGGAGAGTCCAGTCCAGAAAGGTAGAAAGTCGCTCCTCACTGTAAACGACAGAAAACACAGGTAAATCCCACACCAAAAACAAGTCAGGGTCATGATGCAATTATTCATTCAAAATGTAAACACATCTTCTCTTAGCGGTCGTCTCAGATGTTCTAGTTTCCCACATCTCGTGCCATCAGGAATCAGGCTTCATTGTTCAAAACAGTCATTTCATACATGGATGGCGGCCTCTCTGGAACAGCATCACGGGTTAGAGAACCAGGCGGCTCCTGCCCGAGGATACAGGCCGCTCTCTGCTCTCCATCTCCCATGAGGTCAAAGGTGGACACCGGGAGGACGGGAACTCTGGGGCAATGCAGGATAGTACAATAATGGAGCTGTAGTGGGCTCTGGCCTCTGACCTCTGACCTCTGAGGGGATCAATAAAACATCACATCATCCCAGCAGAGTTTGTTCAATATCTTTATTTATGCTCTCACTCACTCTCTCGCTCATTCTCATGAAACAAATCACAATTGAACAACAGATCTGAACTGATAGTTTCCTATACAGGTGACTTAAATTATTAAACAGAAAGTGTACAGCTATCACTACCAAATTTAAGGCAGAATTCCACACAGAAGTGGTCAAATCATGTGATATTGATATAATTTTGACCCATTATTAGTTTCTCTAATCAACTAAGAACCATCAAATAGACAATGGGAAAAGAACATCTACAACAAAATCCTGCCTTCAACACTGACTTCATGTTAGTAATATATTAGTAACATTTTACATGAATAAAATATACTATGTATTATACATTGTTAAGACTCTTTACCATTTATTACATGTTGCCCTTCCCAGAAAAAAGGTATTATTGCATCTCTAGAAGTAATCATGTTCCTGCAGCGGGATGGTCAAGTCCATTCTGCAGGTGTGTGTGTGTGTGTGTGTGTGTGTGTTTTTTTTTTAAATATTTTTATCTTAAAAACAATTAGCTTCAGATGCTAACACACCGAGGGTCAGTTGGAGAGGAGATCACATGTCCATGGATGACACTTACTGAGGGGATGACAGAGTATCTAGTGGAAATAAACAATGGGGCTTTCTGTACAGTCACTCGAAAGTTCAGCATTTGCAAATTTGATGAGTTTTTTTTTTGTTGTTTTTGTTTTGTTTTTTTAAAGCCAAGGCTAAGTAGCTAGAGATACTGAAAGTTCCCAAACTATGCTGCCATGCTAGCTTGCAATGTCATGTTCCAATAAGCTGCTCCCCAAATAATACTGTCCTTAAAGAAAGAGTTTGACATTTTCAGAAATACACTTATTTGCTTTATTTAAGAGTTATACGTCTCTTGTGTCTGTGTGCAGGGAATATGGAGCTACGCCAAGAAGCCAACAAATCATGTGTGTTTTTACACTTGAAGGGGCTTTTTGTGAATTTTCCCAACGTGGTTTCTTGGCAAGAGCTTCGGCGATTGCTGCTTTGAGAAGACGAGAGGTTATAATACGCCCTCTACAACACGGCAGATCGGAGGCTGCAGTGAGTGGCTATCGGATCGGGCTAGCTGGTTAGCGTGCTAACTTCAGTATTAGAAAAGAAGTGGTAGGGACAAGAGTTAACATCTGTGTTGCTTCCTTGGTGATTAAAGGAATTAAGTTTGATGCTTGATGAACGTTTCTCAGAGATTGCTAAGAAAACTGCTGCTAATGCTAGCTATGTAGCAATAGCTAAACTTACAAATAGGTCCTTTAAAAAGTTGTTGTGCGAATAAAAGAAATATATAAAGTGTTAATTAGTGAGCTTTTAGCAAATTTTCTTTCCTTTGGACCGAGCCAGACTTGCTGTTTCACCATTGTCAGTCTTTGTGCTAAGCTAAGCTAAAATAAGCTAAGCTAACTCTTGAAAAAGAAAAATGCGCATACTTCCCAAAATGTAAAACTTCCCTTTAACCGGCTGGAGAAAATGGGGGGAGAGACATTCAAATGTAAAATACAAATGGAGAAGACTCTGGAGTGATATGAGCTGTCACTGTCACAAAAACATTTAGATATACAGAATATATAAAATGTATATTTAATACTTTCAAAAAAAGGTACTAGATTCGGTATAGAGCCAACTCTTTTAGATACCACTGAAATAGATTAGTATTGGCAAATATCTACTCTTTAGTTTTTCTAATGTGAGGTGCATCGAGTCAATAGTGACATTAAATACTGCACACAAAATCCACACGTTTGCAGTTTGCTGTGGCAGGTTCTTAAAAGGACAACTCGCAGTTGTTGTTGGAAAAATATAAAAACATACAAAATACAAATAAAGTTGATTTAAAAATTGTTTAAAATTTTTTATGTAATTGGCCCATCGACACAGCAGTTACTGTAAGTGTCATATAATTCTGGCTTCCCTCTGTTGCTGGTATCACCAAACATTGATATACATAGAAAAAGAACACAAATGTGTCTCGGTTTCCTCGCGTTAATACTGTTTCTAACAAATTTTTCTTTGTTTTACACAACTTGCACACAGACTTACATGACAAAAAACACAGTGTAGCACAGTACAAAGGTGGTTGAGTGTGGCACGGTATAGATTTTTTTTGTTTTTTGATCTACTGATTGACAGCACAGTGGCACCGCCAGTATGTGTCATCACAAACTTGTCTCCCTGTCCAAGCTCTTCTCATGCCTCCGCCGCTTGTGTCGCTTTTCGCCACCACTGGTGCAACTACACGGATGAAAGAAAAAAACAAAAAAAAACAAAAGAGAAAACAAAAACATTAAAAAGAGAAAGAAAGGAAATGTATTACTTTAGTTTTCACTTGCCAGCTGGCTGACTGTCCATAAATCCAGATCAAACAGCATGCAGACACAGTTTATCTCATACGGCTTAACAGCAATCTGCGCTGACACTTCAATGTCTTGTGACATTGAAATAACAATCGAGCTCCTTGTGAGTGACATTTAGTGCTACCAATTTTACAACATGCTGTAACTGACTTCATAAAAAGTAACATGCACACCCAAGGCCATGCTGTGTTCATTTATTACCGATTTCTCTCACTATTTATTGAGTAATCTCAATCACAACTCGTAGCACAGACCGACACCACGTTCATCATGCAGCAGTCAGCTGTAAACACACAGGACGAGACGCTCCATGCTGGCAGGGACTGGGAACCACTTACCTTTGGCTATATCAGCTTCTGAAAGGTTAGGAAGGGGAGCTTAGGGGTGGGATGAAATGAGAGAAGCAGGCAGGAGACACTATGTTAGTCTACTCCGTGGGAAATCTGCGAGGGCGGCGCTGCTCTTAGATAAACCCTTTCATCTAAACACACTAGCTCCTCAGCTTCCTGGAAAAATAAAACATAAATATTCCATAGCTTTTCAATAATAAACACCTGCCACTGTTTGCTACAACACCCACAGACACCATCTTCCCCCTGAAATAGTTTTTTGACTTAGTAAAAATACACTCAGGCTCAAGAGTCAGCATGTATCTGCAGAATGTGCTGATGTTTTACTGGTTATGTGAATGATGTAGATAAGGAGGCTAACCTTTTAGCGCTTGGTTCCTTCTTCATGCTCTCAGCTGGGCTGACGCTCTTCCATACATTCCCGAAAGATCCTTTGGACATCTCGTCAGTGATGTTCACTGTGGCCGGGTCACTCCTTCAAAAGCACATCACAGAGAGACGTAAGTTATATTGATATAACTCTGTACCTGCTATAAGAACAACAACAGATCATTTTACTGGAGCTCTCTGCATTTCACTACTCCTGGATTATTCTGTCAGAAATATTCCAAGTTACATTTTAGATTTAAATTCTAGATAGAACAACAAGCAGATTATTTATTATGTCTAAACATTTTCAAATTACATTTCTCTGTGGAGAACCATGGCGTCACATTCCTGTAGAGACCACAGTTATTCTTTAAATGAAGCTTTTATTCTCCCATGATGCATCACAAAGAAGAGAATCTACTAAATGGCTACAAAAAAATCCTCATTACAACATGAAATATTATGATCAATAGTTGATCAATATAAAAGGTAAAAAAGTCCATAATATCATGACAAAATGGGCTCTCCACTGTTAGCAAACTATGCTAGCTCATACATCTCATATACCACTGATTGTTTTGGGCATTGTAGTGTCTGTAGCGCCACCTTCAGGTTTACCACTGAGCTGCTGATTAACATATTGATTTTAATGTTTTCTGATTAGTATTGCCAGGGTGCAAACAAGACAGCTGATGGGAGAGAGTGTTGCAGCTGACGCCCGCCCCATATGTCTAACCCTCCGTGTGTTTTAATATTTATGCCGAATAGGATGAGATTGGTTCCAGCTGCTGAGACGTTGCCCATCCCCATTTCCTGCTTCCTGTGTAATGAGCCGAGGATCAAGACTGGAGCGGTGCCCGGTCCGGTTCTCCAATCCAGAGGATGCAAATGTGGACTGAGAAGTTACAAAAGCTCGGGCAGGTCGGGGCGGCTGGGTTAATGTCACAAGCATCAGGAACTGATTCATATGCTACTTATAACATTTACATTGAATTAACTCTATAACATCTATGTATTGATGTGTTCAATGTCTGAGTTGAATCTTATTTTCTGTGCATGTGGACGCTTTCTACATTCACAGCCACAACCTGTTCTAGAAGTGGGAAAGTGGATCCTCACAGAATATATAATATACAACTAACTCCACGTTAGTGATAGATCCTGTTCTGTATCTTTGGTTTTTCCTATGTCCTCTGCAGATTGCCGGAGATCAGTACGTTCAATATTCAGTCTAGGAGATTCAATGGAGAGAAGAGTGTTGTAGTATTTGGACGAAATGAAATGCATCATCCCGGAGCCACGACCTGCCACATCCTCTGCTCGTCATTGCAGTGTTGTGGCTGAAATCTGGGTCAAACACACAAAGGAACATCTCTAGAACATTGGTGGGTGTGTGTGTGTGTGTGTGCGTATGTGTGTATATGTGTCATGATTGTGTTCTGTTATTATATTTTATATTGCACATATATTCAGTTCAATGCTGATGTTGGTTCTATGAAACGTTAGTGTTTTGTGAGTATTTGGTATATTGCACCTTGTATATTTAAATCAGAATAAAGTTACGAGCTGAACTGAACTAATGTAAAGTAATTCTATGATGTGTCTTTTATTCTTTTTTAGCATTTTCTCTTTAATTACAGAAAGATAGTCGAGATGCAGACAGGAAATGCCGGGAGGGGGGTGCGGTTACATGGTTCACATCTTAACCTCTTGGCTCATAGTGAAGCTTTTAATTTCTCTTGAGCACTTGAGTGTTTCCATTCCCTCCTCCCATATTTCATAAAATACATTACATGCGACCAAAATGCAACCTGACTGTTCACAACCTTAAAGAGTGCCGTAAATCCTTTGTAAATATGCCCATTAATGTCTCGAAGTGACACTAGGTCAGAAGCATGGTCAACCGAAATGCAGAACGGGATCAAAGATTAAAAAGTCTTACTTGTAGTGTCCCTCCAGTGGCACTTGAACAATGCCTTCCTCCTCTGCAATAATACTGTGTTCCTCCTGGAGAAAAAGATAAAAAAGAAAATCTAAAACTCTGCATGACGAGCGGCTGCACTGGTGGAATGAAAAGGTTTTTGGGTGCTCTATTACTGCACCTCTTCTGCAGCATCCTCCAACTTCTTCTTCTTCCACTCCGGCATCAAGTCATCCAGCCAGCTCAGTTCCCTCTTGGTGAAGATGAAGTCCAGCAGCTTACGAATGAACACCAGGGCCAAGACCTGGAGCGGCACAAACAGATATCAACAGTCACATGCATTATGCACACAAATACACAGTGCATGCATACGCAGACAAAGACACTCGGGTTACCATCATGGGGAAGACGATGGCAGCCTTGGAGGTCTTGATGATCCACAACAGGGCCAAGCAGCTGAGCTGGACGATGGTGAAGAGGTGGACCTTCCTCAGAGGGACGTGGCGAAGGTAGATGAAGTCTGGCTGGTGTTTGGCCGGCATGCCGAACAGCCTGAGTCGGTCGAAGAACTGCAATGAGACAAACAGACGTACATTAAGAATTCAACCACAATCTTTTCTGGATTAGTTCTTCTGATAAAACGCCAGCAGAGGGAACCTGGACTCACCTGAATACCTCTGAGTGAGGACGCCCCCATGTACAGAAAGACTCCGTACAGCACAGGCATGGGGATAAACTGGAGACAGACAGAGCAACATTTCATTATAGGAGGGATATAGAGAAGTCTCACTTAGCGTTTAGGTACATATGTTTGTTTTTCATAATCTAACAATGTTTTATTCCATATTCTTTAATGGAATAATAATGAAACAATGTCTGAATTGTCTGTTAACTTAAATGTATTATGTTTATAATTTTTCTTTTCATAATTTTTTTTGTTTCCTTTTTTAAAACTAGTAAAAATGTTTTTTTTTCATGCTCACTTTTTTTTGCACTGTCAGCCTCTTGTGGCTGAAATGAGTATTACAAAAACAAACACCAAAAAAAATGGAAAGAAAAATGATCCTGGGCTTCCATACAAGAGTTTATGGAAATATCCAGGACGTCGTTCTTACATAAAATATCTGATGGTAAAACAAATTCTACATAAAATTAACAGGCTTTACAATATTTCTTTTCAGTTTCTATAAATATCTTTAATACAGAAACCACAAACTATGACCTCATTAATGTAATAATAATGAATGTGGGTGTTGATGCTTTTGCCCTGACCTTCAGCACAGAGGTCATGAAGACCGAGCAGCCCATCAGGGTGAAGATCATGAGGCCGGTGAACCGCTGCTCTCGGATGCCCAAGAACTTGGGCTGCTCTCCGGGGGCGGAGCACTCCGACTCCAGCTTCAGGCTGTTGACGTGGGAGATGGAGAGCACGGTGGCTGCCACGAACCACGGCAGGCCCATCACCGAGCACACTCCCAGCATCACCCCCACCACAAACAGGTCCAGGTGGTAGCCACAGCCTTTCTGCGGGACGCAGACGACGGACAGCGGGATTTAGATATAATAGAGCTCTTATTAAATGTCTTGTTCTGTGTTTGTTTGAAATACCTTCAATTTGTGCTCCTTCCTGTTGATGATGACAGCTGTGATCTGCTGGTCCATAAAAATGAGGATGGTGCAGAGGAGAGCTGGGATGAAGGTGATGATGGTGGTCCACCAGGGGTTGGGCCCCACAGGGTTTATAACCCAGCCACGATCATCCCTGGTTGGCTGAGGGACAAAAGACAAATGCAAAATTTTATGAGAGATTTTTGCTCATTATCAGAATTTTGGATTGAAGATCCAATTGCAGTTTGTTGAGATCTAAGGGCGACTGTACGTTTCACTATAATCCTGCAACATTAAATAGCCACTGATGAGTATTATCATTACATCATCATATCGAGGTATCATCATTCTTATAACCAGGAATAATATGTCTTTCTCTTAGTTTATAAATCTGTATCTTTAATTCAATTTAAATTTTTTAAATCTTCATAAATTGAATATTATATATATTTTCTTCTGGACTTACTTTGAAATTGCTGGGGACCTGTAATTTAGGGGAGGGGATCCCCAGGGCGTAATCTACTAACACCATAGTGAGGATGGTGATGAAGACGGCGAAGTCACTGATGATGGAGCGCACCTGGAGGGAAGAAAGAGACACCATCAGGTCCATGTTACGGCCAAATATGCTCCTATAACCTGACTACAGTGTACAGTGTCATCACCACAAGGTGGCGCCGGCATGCTATACATTAGCGTGTCAGCATCACGCCACACATTACACTCACTGAGTGTCATCTCAATGATAAATCATAGAAATTCCACACATAGAACGGCCACACAGGTTGTAGGAGGTTTTGCTGTGTCTCTCAACAACCAATAGATGGCAGCATGATCTAAAATGAAAGGCAAAGATGTGGCATCTCGACCAGTTTCAGTGTGATTTCAGACCCATGGTAAAATGAGAAGTAAATGGAGGGCTGCATAATTAATGAGGCAGATTCAATTTTGCGGCTGTCATGCTCCCGAAAGTGTGTGCGCTTCAAGAAGAACGACCGGTATAAAAGGTTTTAAAACAGACGGTAACAAGCTGGTGTATGTGCATTATTTGGGGATGGTTAAAGTGTGACACGTACCTTGGTGGGGAAGTAGCGGCTTGTCTTGAACTCCTTGAGGAAGGCGGACATGAAGACGGTGGAGAAGAAGAGGACCACGCACCAGAAGAGGACGTCGGGGATGTAGGGGCCGTGGGGGCCGCAGGCGGTGCCTTCAAACTCCCCGTGCAACATCTCGCACTCCTACTGGCACCAGAGGACACAGTGATGATGATGGTAATGATAATTAGGATGATGAGGAGAAGGCGGCCAGGGATAATGATGCCAGTGAAAATGATTAGAGTGACAGTGGAGATGAGGGCGATGATGGATATCGGTGTCAGTGACGAATTAGTGAAGAGCGTTCAGCTACTTTATTTTTATATACTACATAGATATTTAAAGCATCAATTTGAATACAATGCCAGTGGCTTCGTGTTGCTGTGCCTCCCTGCACGAGCATGTGTGGGAGTGATGCAACAGGCCACCGCTGGCATGACTGATTTGAGCCCGACAGTGAGAGAATCCACTCTTCACACTGCATCTCCATGCTCATTCTGCACGGATAAATCCTGTGAAATCCTGCCCACATGTTCTTAATCCCCGCCTAGACTTATGACGCTTCTTGATAAAGCGAAGCGCGGGGGACACGAGACTCAGCGCCGCGGCGCCAGGCTGGAACTTTCTTGGGCATTTTGTTTGTGCCGTTTCATTTCGGGTTAAGCGGCTGTGATTTAAAGCGTCATCTGTGTCCTCATCGACTCGGCATCAGGCCGGTGTTTACAGATCAAGATCTTCTCTGGCTTCTTTAACCATCACTAGAAGTCTACTTGAGCCCGTTCTGTCATCTAGTGTATCTCTATCTCACGTGCTCCTTACCTTGACCTCCAGCATGGTCCAGTTGACCTGCGAGGCCGTGATGTTCCTCTCCTCCCAGAAGCGCAGGGTCTCGTTGCTGGGGTACCTGGGCTCCACACAAGCGCACCTACAGAGGATAGAAGAATATCACACTTCAGAGACTTCAGTAAGAAAATCAAGCTAAAATGTAAAAAAGATATATTTGCTGGATTTCTGAGGATTCTGTGATTTTACAGTTTGTTTGTTTTTTTAACTGCTTACACACAAAAACTTTATATATCACACAGTTTCTGAAACCTGTCACTCAAAGCACAGGTTTCATATGAGAGGGACTACACTGAAAGTCCAACATGGCATCCATAATTCAACCTTTCAGAAACGACAACAGGTAAGAACATCATGTATATCTTAATGGCTGCTTCACTTTAGAACATGTGTGAAAGCAGTTGTAAAAAAACTGAACTGGTGGTGAGACAAAACAAGTGGGTTCAACATGTCTGTTTGGGCATTTCTTGACATTTTATAAGCCAAACAAGGTGTTTAATAATTGACACAATAATGGACAGACTCGGCGACACAGTAATGACCATAATCAGTATTTGCAGCCCTGTTAATACCCACATATTCCTTTTCACACCACTTCAGAACAGGTTGAGCCATCAACATGAAGTGACTCATTCTGCTGGCATTTTACACAACTGAATGTCATCATCTCCTGCTGTTCACGACACTAGAATAGAAAACCACAGAAGGAGCTGTTGGCTTGACACAGCCACTGGTCCGCCCCTATGTGACGGGGTAAAGCATGACGCTCCTGACACACACACACACACAAACACACACACACTCAACGTGGGATTATTCATCATAAAGTAAAAACGCATTACTACAGAGCCGGACTGTGCATCTACTACACCGCTGCACCATCTGTCGTCCCATGATGCAGCAAACCACTTGAGCACGGGTGTGTAAATGTGCTAAGTTTAATTCAGTGTGCGTGCAACAGCAAGGACTACATCAGTACGTTAACTTTTTATATTCAACCTTCTTATTGTCATCGTTCCAATTACAGTAATGTAAGAGAAAGTTTCATTTTTCATTCTATTTCTTTTTAGTCTACTTTCTCTGAGGCTGCAAAGTGATTATTTTCATTATGATCTCTTGATAATTTTGATTTGTCAATACATTTTTTTGTCCACTAAATGATAGAAAACAGTTAAAAATGTCCATTAAAATTTATCAAAACCCAAGTTTACACATTCAAATGTCTTGTTGTAGCCCAGCAACAGCCCAAAGACTCAGAAAAACAGCAAATATTCCCATTAGTGAAGCTGGAACCAGAGATCGATTATCATCCTTGATGTGATTCTTTTGTCTCGTTGCCACATCTGCTTTAAAATTTGCCCAGTTAGCTGTTAGCAGTTCCAGTTTACTATGTACCCCATGGATGCACAGGCATTCATCACTGTGATTACTTTGATGATGAAGAAAACTTAATTTGTGGAGAAAATAGTGAAAAAAAACACAAATGCATCAGTGCAACAAGCATTAAAAAAAGAGCACTAGTGTTTTTCAGAAAAGCACTTACGAGTATTGCGTGAGTTTCTGAAGGTTGTTGTTTTTGTTGATGGGGTAATGCACTCCCAGGTGGATTAGCTTCTCCAGGGCCTCGTAGATGAAGATGATGCATATCAGCGACGCAAAAGCTTCCTCGGTGAAGCGTGTGATGTAACAGACAAGTGAGCTGGCATCAGTGGCCACCAGCAGCAGACAGAAGAAGGCCGTCCACAGGCCAATACAGGCCCTCAGGGAGAGGTAGGAGAGGCCATAGTCCCTGAGAGACAGCACACACACACACACACACACACACACAGGAGGAGTGAAGGGGTAAGCATTAGGTAAGGCATCCCTACTCAGGCAGAAAGGACACACATCCACCTTTCAAAACGGAAATGTTCTACTATCACAAAAGCCCAAAGAATAACCCACTTGCAGAACTTGAAGAGGATCTTCTCGAAGACAAGAACCGGCCCCGTGCTGCCCAGGATGGTGAGAGGCTGACCAGCGAAAAGAGAGTAGGCGATTCCCGTCATGGAAGCCCCAAACAGGGACTCGATAGCACTCTGGAAACACAGGGAGCAAAGATCTGAGTCACAGACGCATCTCACAGTTGATATTATCATATTTTCTCAGCATTAATTGCACATACTGTGAATTTCCGTTGATGTTTAGCAGGTTTAGCATCTTAGTTTAGCGTGTTAGCACGTTAACACTAGTTTATATAATGACATTTCAGCCTGGATCAACCAACAGGCCGACGTTTCCCTTCCTGTAGCTGCGCTGCTAGCACGGCTGAAAACACACCACAGGCTTGCTGTGCTATAGGCTGTGTGAGAATAAGTGGGGCGACATCAGAGGTTCAAAGGAGCTTGTGCCTTCCCTTCTTTCAGCAACTTGTTTTCAAGGTGCCTTTCAGCAAGACGTGTTAACTCTCTGACTTAAAAGAGCTTGTGTTCTGAGTCACGTCTTCCCTGGATGTATGCAGCGTAAAAAGATCTGACCTTGTTTACGAAACCGTTTCAAACTTCCACTCTCGTCCTTGCCGGTGCAACAAAATGACAAAACACGGTTGTGATCACAGCGTCTGCTGTGTAAAGACGTTTCTTACCACACGTCCCTCTGTGGCCTCCCCCAGGAGCCCGCCGAAGGTGATGACAGGTGACATGCAGGCGCAGTAGAGGAAGAGGAAAGAGGCCAGACACTGCAGACTGACGGCATCCGTGTAGTCGGAAAGGTAGTGAGGAGCCTTTCGCTTGATGTCAAAGACAAAGCCGCCAAACACCCTGTGGAGAAACAGGTTTTATGAGACACAGTCTATGATGATGATTTGAAACCACACACGCTAACACATCATATAAAGACTGGAAAGGGGGGGGGGGGGCAGCTAGCCTCACAGAAGGGTCAGGAAAGAATAGTTTGACATTTTAGTGAAACTGTCTTGAGAAAGCTTTGGTGTTCACAGGTTCACTTGTAACCTTGATGATGCAATTAGACAGTGGTCACAGGTGTAGGCTAGTCACTGTATTTAAGGAGTGGAAACAGGGAGAAACATCTGCCAACCTGCAGCTGTAGGGCTCCATACGTAACACATTATATATATATATTTCTAATCCATACAAAACAACCAAATGGCCTGTGGTCTCTGTAAACATTAAACAAAACACACATATCGTTGTCACCTTTGGATAGAGTCAGGCTAGCTGTTTCCCCCAGGCTTGAGTCTTTAAATATGAAGCTATAGCCAGGCTAAGCTAAGCTAAGCGCCTCCTAATTATCATACAGACCCGAGACTAGTGCTTATAATAAACTGTATCACGGCGTGTCACTGCATTGATTCACCTGCAGTACGCCGGTGCTTCTCTTCACTGCAGAACAAATGTTTGAACAGAGCGTCGGACCGCTGAGAGTACGAGCTATATCCGGTGTATTTACAGTGTTACACATGTGACCCACAAGACAAAATATTGGAGAGGGGTAAAACATTCCCTCGCCGAGCACACACTTCTGTGTTGTTTATATCTAGGTGTGTGTGTGTGTGTGTGTGTGTGTGTGTATGTGTGTGTGTGCGTTTGTACGACTCTCTCCTGCTGCAGCAAGCCCAGACCAGGGTGAACTAGCTGGAGGTGGTTGCTATGGTAACAGTGGGCGGGACGTTACGCTTAGTCTGAGCGGTAGCAATGCCATGTCCCGGGAGGAGGAGGAGGAGGGGGTGGGGGTGGTGGTGGGAGGGTGTGGGTGGGGGTTGATGGCTGGGACTGGGCCAATCTTAGCTGGGATGAGAGCCTGTACCGCAGCATGCTGCAGCTCAGCAGCAGCACTTCACTCACTGCTCTGCGCCGCACTGTCACTGACTGTAATGAGCTGGGCTCCGAGAATCCACCTGGAAGTGATGAGGCCATTTCAGGCTGATGACAACATTTTTTTCATCTTTATAATCCCTTCTGTAAGAAATCAATATTTGCCTTGTGAAATCATCCCGTCTCTTCGCACCTGGAAATTACTGTGAAATAAAATTCTTGATGTCAAGACTTTTTCATGCGGCTTCATCAGGGTTATAAAGAGGAATAACGACAGGCACCAGCTATTCATCCTTTCCCAAGTTCTTCGTAAAGACCAGCTACTTTCAAATTGTGATTTACTAAAACTTGAGAGGATGAACAAGAGAGGAAAGTTCCAAATTACTGTTTGGTGGAACTGCTGAAAACCCACGCACCTTTCTTGTGACCTGAAGAATCTTAATAGCTTAATTAGCTTAACATATGTTTTTTTATGTAGAATCTGAACCTGAAACGTAACTGAAAATGTCAGATAAATGCAGTGGAGTGTAGAGTCGAGGGAGAGAGCAGCATAAATCAGATATAATCAAACGGATGTATGTAATAAAAGGAGCGTGAGGAATAGTGTGAATTATTTGTGAGTGAGCACGCTCACTTGGCAAAGTGTTGTTAAATAATCTAACATTGATGCAATATTGAAGAACGTGACGTTATGTGTGGCACAGAGTGCTCGGATAAGTCTAAACTCAAACAAAAGGTCTTTGTGGAGTTGAAGTGTGAGGAATGATAATGGACCAATAGGGTAGTCTGATTCTAAAGCTAAATTTATAGTTTGGGGACAGGAAGGCAGCTCACAGGCGACAGGAGGACGGGGACAAAGAAGAGCTTGAAGAGCTCAAGTCTGCACTTCACAAATCACGCTGTGTCTCTCTAAAACTTACTTCCCAGTTCGCTGGAGCTCAGGGCCGCCGTGTCCTCCGTGCTCCTCTGACTCACCGAGATCTGTCACTCCGTTGGGAACAGGAGGAATCTTCCGCTTTTCCTGTGTGGTTAGGATCACCGTTAGTCAGCTGTTTGTTACAGCTCGTCATCATAAGGACAACAACAAGAGAGCAAGTCTAAAGGTCTGTGTCCATGTGTAGTGTGATTATAGATCAGGTCTAGCTTCTATATTAATACTGTGAAAGTATCAAAGCCTCAGTCTACAGAGAAATGCACACAGCCTGTATTCAGGAACTGAGCCTTAAAACCAGCCGTCAGAACTTCCTGAACTTTGTGATGTCACAACAAAGCAGTCACCAAGCCCCGCCCACCTGGACCCAGCATCCAAACCTTGCAGGATTTGGTTTCTCTGAGTGTTTTACCTGAAATCTGCTATATTTTTATTGGATCACTCAGAAAACAGGGAGGCTCAGAGCCTCCTCTCTTCTGATTGGCTCACTGACCTGTTGTTACTAGAGCTCCAGAGAGAAGCCTGAGAGAGGAGATGCAAAACTACACTGAGATGGTTTTTGGTTCTTAAAACTACAAATATATCTTCTCATGGATCAACACTTCAAATAAAACACAGAAGAAGATGGAGCTTTAAATCTCCACTGGAAACACCGGATGTTAATTCCAACATACATTTAAGGTTAAATGACACATAATTGATTTCTTATGCATGAATTTAGCATGTTCATCAGCATAACGATGTAATTGCACAGTGGTGCATCATTAATTCACAACAGGAGCAAAAGGACAAAGAGGAAAAGACAAATAAGGCCTGAAGCAAACTGTATCTGAAGCTGCTTTCTGTCAGATAACAAAAATTTCTCCCCCCAAACAAGATGGCAGATCACTTTCCAGAGTACACCAAAATAACTAATGGAGGAAAAATAACTAATGTTTTGTAGAGGATTGAGAGCAGAACCCCGGGGAGCGGCATCAAAGCACAGACTACAACACAGTTGAGATTAGAGGAGAACGCAGATGTTTAAATATTTCTAAGCAGAGGGGACTCACAGGCGCATTATGAAAGAACAGTGATATATAAACTCTGCACAGCCACAGAATGGGGAGTTATGTGGTTTAGCTTTTTAAGTGGCAGCAATGGACGCCGTCATCCTTTTTTACAAAGTGATACAAGAAGTGTTTTTCTCATTTAAATGTGAAAAGAAACTCACCTGAGAGGGCACATTTTTGGGAGGCTCTATTCTGATGGAGGGGTCCCACTCTCCGGGGGGTAACACCGTCACCTGGTCCAGAAACTCGTCAATGCCCGCCACCAGGTCGTTCCTGTCTTTGGCTTTGTAAGCGACATCATGGAAAATCTGCAGAGGAGACGGTGATTTAAATAATTATTGCTTTAATAGTCGCTGAATCACTGAGTGCATTTTCATGGATTTACAGATGGAAACTCGTATACCAGCGTGACACGGGGTTTATCCAGCAAAGGATTATTCCTGCCTCCATACATAATGGAAAAAAAAAAAACATTCTGAACATTATCATACAAAGTGAATCTACAGATGAATATGGTGCTTTCATATGTCAGTCTATTTGTTTCTCATAAATAAGATAATAGTTTATTTATATGGAATACAGAATATAATTTTTGCTCGTAGCAGCTGAAAAGTAAATCACAGTGACGGGTCAATTCACTTCCATATATGATGATGAAGTAGGTAGGCATCTACACGCCTCTATTTTCAAACATCCCAGAGGGGAAATGCCAGTGAAAATAGGCAACATCTGGCTCTGATGATGGTCAGTAATATTAGCTCAAAGCTGCACTGTGGGAAATCCTGTCACATTTTCATGTCATACTCTGTTGATCCAAAAAGGTCAGATACTCAAGTACTCCATTTGTTTTGTACAGTATGAACAGTTTTGAGGTACTTGTACTTGACTTTATTTGTAATGGAGTATCTTTTCATTGTTCGATTACGTCTTTAACTTCAGTAAAAAAATTCTTCTTTCATCCCTTCTGGTTTCATTACAAGAGCAAGAATTTTAACCTTGCAGTTCTTAAACTAAGGCCTCACCTCATCAGTCATCAGAGTAGCAATAGACCGGCCAATTTCATGATACTGGGGACCTTTTCCCAGAGGGCCAAGCAGGATGAAAAGAAACCTGTTCAACACAGAGGACAACAGGTTTTGGGTAGAAGTCAAATATTTTTCTAATGAAGCATTCGGAGGATTAGTAATTCATCTATCAAGACTGGATACATAATACAGAGAGATAAAGAGGCAAAGACTGTGTATTACCTGGTGGTGATGGGAACCTCAGCCAGGCCGTTGAGCAGCACAGCAGGAGCCAGGCGGACAAACGCCACTACAGGGCGGTCTAAGAATTCCAGCTCCCCCACCAGGACGTTGGACGCCTCAGCACCAGGAGGGATCTTCTTCATGAAGTGGAGGTCAATCTGTGAGAGACAGAAAGAAACCAAAACAAAACATCAGCATAACTGTTGTCTTCTGTTAAAATATTGTTTGGTATAGGAGGTAGATTGTAGTGAATGGTCTCAATAAAAATTCAAAATAATGGCTGGATCCGACTCCACACAGGAAAAGAAAATAAGCTTTACTCCCATTAAATTCCAGTCAGTTTCCCAGGGCAAGAAGCTTACGGCGACCATTTCACACGTAACCCAACCTTGGTTAAATATTAGTTACTAGTTACATGTCCAGCTATCAGTGTCCGTAGATAAACAGCAGGATCAGTGGTGGGTCTTGGCTGCTCACCTTGCTGAAGTCGACGGCGCTGTTTTCTCGGCTGACGTCCTGTTTGCCCTCATTGTTGGCCGGCTGGGACTGAGGTGAGACCGTTTGGCCTGTCAGGCAGAGCGGGAAACCGACAGCATGTCAATTTCACAGAGGCTCAGACCTATCACAACACTACTTTCCCACACAAAGACAAAGGTCTCCAGTGAGTGGCTACAGGCTAAAGTTACAGTCTCTGAAAAACATGATACAACAGTGGACTTTTGTTGTAGGTGCTGCACCTTCATTAGTGAAAAGGTTTAGCCCAAGTGACAAAAGATATAATATTGTACCTTTTTTTCAGAGTGTACCTGATGAGTCTGTTTAATATTAATCTCATCTGATAAAAAGTATCAGTGGTGCAGCTGTGATTTTAGCTAACCCTTACTCTAAATCTTTCCAAATTAAGTTTAGTAAACTAAATGAGGCGCAATCTTCAACTTTAATTAAAAATGTACATGCATTGACACACAGGTGCTCATTTAAATAGCTTTTTCAGTTTGCTTTAGTTTTACTAAAACAAAGTCAAAGATTGCTCCTTTTAAAATTTCAGTCACTGTGAAACACCAGCTGCAGCCGTTTGACTTAATCAAAGCACCTGGAGGGAAAGCAAAGGGAATGCTTCTTCAGTGAGAGTGTGATAATACTACCTTTAAAGAAATACTTTGACATTTTGGGAAACATGCTAATTCACTTTCTTGCCATGAGTTAGATGAGAAGATTGATACCACTCACGTTACTGTCCAAGAAGCTACAGCTAGCAGCTGGTTAGCCTAGCTTAGCTAGCGAACTGGGAACAGCTAGTTTGACTCCGCCTAGTGGTAATAAAATCACCCTGCCAGCACTTTTAGAGCTTGACCTAAACTTAATAATTAACAGGTTATATTTAATGTATTTAATCTTCAATAACCCTACCGTAAAATGGCAAACTATTGTTTAAACTTACGCGTTTTAGCTACGTATCAGACACGATCTCCATCCATGCAAACGCACCTGAAAACGCATATACACGTAACCGTTCACGTACACTGGGCATGCGCGAGCCGGCGTAAACAGGAAGTAGTTGTCTACTCTGCAGTTGATCAGTTGCAGAAAATACTACAAACGAGGAACAGTGTTCAAATGCAGAATTTAACTGCACAACAGCTGCTCAGCTGAAATATTGTAAATTGTAAATAACTTAATGCATTTAAAGAAAAAAAAAAAAATTTTATAATGCAAATGCTCTGTGCATTTCATTATTTTCAATACATTTTTGTTGGTTTCAATGTGAACGCTATCACTTATTCCTCTGTGTGCACATAATGTAAATATCTTTGTAAATATCTACGAATGCAAGTACTTATGTACATACTTTCTTATTTCTTATTTCTTATATTTTATTGTTATACTTGTTTTTCTCCTTCTACCTCATTTTCCTATGCTGCAGTAACAAGTGAATTTCCCCAGTGTGGGCTCAATAAAGGTTTATCTCATCTTATCTTATCTTAAGTAACACTTGTATTTTGTTGTCTATGTTGTATTCACCACTGGTAGTTGAGGCTGATAAGACCCAAGCGGGCAGTGACCGTCAACGCCTGCCTCATCGTTTCCAAAGACTACAACGCAACCCTGGAGTTTTCAAACTAAAACGTTTCCAAAAGTCATGGTTTTAGGTGCTCGAAAACTCCAGAGTAGTAAAACTAAAATGTAGTAGTGTGGATGTGGCCTTAGAGGTGCTGTTAGCTACTTCATATTCAGCGTACAGACATGAGAGTGGTATCAATCTTTTCATCTAAGTGTATGATCGTATTCCCCAAAATGTTGAACTATTCCTTTAAATCCCAAAGGCAAAAAAATGGAGATTATGTTTTGTGTCATGAAGTTAATTTACAGTGAGTAACTTCCACTATTAGTAACTGATGACTGTTATGAGTTTAGAATATGATTCCTAAATATCCTGTGGTTTTTAGTCATCAAACACATTGTTGACGATGACAAGAAGCGGAGAGCATTATCATGAAAGTACTGCAGGTATACTGCACATGCCCTGTTGGGCCACACACATAAATGATTCTACATGACTAGCACTTGGCCAAAGTTTTTCTAAGATGTTGAAAGTACACAAAACGTCTGCATACTTAATACCATCTACTTTTCTTTTTTATTTCCTCGCTTTGAAGTCTCAAAAATAGATGAGCTAGAAGAACATTTAGACGGTGAGCTTTGCATAAAGAGGAAGCTGCATGAGTTTAGGCCATTTTTTAGTCTTTTCTGGAGTGCACATAACCCATTTCTAACCTCTCACGATGATACTCTCCTCTTTTAATGTGTTCCTTTATATACTACGACGGAGCATTAGGGCAACGTACAGGAAAACAAAAGAAATCTGAAATTTCGAGAATAAAGTCTGAATATTACAAGAATAAAGTCGTAATTTTGAGAATAAAATCACAATATTTAAAGAAAAATAGTCGTAATATTATGAACACTAAAAATGTAAATTTTCAAGAGAGAAAAACATCATTTTTAGAAATAACGATGCAGCTCTTCTGATATTTCCCCTATAAAACAACACCTAACATGAAATTACCACTTTACTCTCTTAATATTATGACTTTATTCTCTAAATTTCAGATTTTTTTTTTCCTCAATGTGGCCCGAATACTCCGTAGTAATATACTATTACTACTGTTTCTAGATTTTCAGTGTTTAGCATGAGCTGAGGCGTCCTGGTTGCCTGTGAAAATGTCCCGCTCTGTGTCGTCCTGTGAGATGGGACAGTAGCCTTGTGCAACTGCCTGGAGGACACTGAGACGTTTGATCTTAGTTTCGCCAAAGGGCATGTCTGCGGTCGTGTTGGAGGAGCTCAAAGGTGATGGAGCGGTAGACAGACACGACATGCAACACACACACTGTGGCCACGCCACACGGGAATATGCTTTTTTGCGTGAGGCATTCTTGGGGAGTGCTTTTTCAGGCAAACACTTGGGAGATTTTATGGTTTGATAATAGAGGCCATTTACTGGTTAAGTGAAAGACACACATGCAGAATACAGCAGACGAGAACAAACACATACACAAACATGGAGAGACACAAACAGGAGAAAATGAGATATCAAACAGCAGTAAAACAGCAAGTCACAGATGGACACACTGGAAAAATCATGCAAAGGATTACAACATTGTACATAAAAACATACTGTATATATTTACATACAACAACATATATGATCACAATGGAAAAAGATTGACAGGTGTGTGTGTGTGTGAGTGCGATCAGTGCTCACCATTCTTGTCCATGGAATGAGGCTCAGACTGCTTCTTGCCTATGTCGGCAAAGGAGCGTACAATGGGGATGCGGTTGGCCAGTTTCTTGTGGTTTTGGTGGTGGTGCTGTTTGAGCAGGGCCTCGCGGATCCTCCTCCTGGCATCCTGACCCACTGGGCCCGACACTTCGTGCTGATCCAGAACCATGTCTGAGGAGTGGAAAACAGAAACGCACAGATGTGGGTTTCCGCATTACTCTTCAAACAGTGTGTGTTCCTGCGTGGCAGCCAGCGACGCTAAGCTGATTATTTCAGCAAAAAACAACCCACTGCTGCTGATTGAATTGCACCAAACCATGTTAAGGTTTGGTGCCCTCAAAAACTAAAGCACAGTTCCCTAATTCTTTCATAAACCTGGTCAAATGAAGCATTTTAGATCGTCAGCCAAGCAAATTTCTGGGTGGACTTCTACTGACACGTCATGATGCTGGACTTGTTGATCTGGCCTATTTTACTACAGAGCTTTGAAATGGTCACTCTGTGAATTAATGTTGAAAAGACAAGGCAAGTTAGATGTAAAATTATTAATCACTGAGAAAAGCTATAAAAGAAAGAAAGACATAAACATATACTGTATATAGATGGGATCAGAGTTGAGTTTACCAGACCTCTATAACGGGCTCCTCATCGCTGTTTGAGGCTATACTTGTTACTGCTAGCACACACCAGCATCTCAGACTGATCTGTCAGTGGTCTAATTGCATTGTGGGTAATGTAGGCACCAGGTTCTGACCAGGAAGAAGAATGTGTGAGATAAAAAAGACAGCATCTCTCCTTCTGCTGCATTGAGTTTGTGGTTATTTAAAAACTTGTTTGACAGTGTTGTAGAAGTGCAAGGCTAATTAACTGGAGAACAGTGAAGATATTTTGTTATTTTCCATAATCTGAGCAAGTAGTCTTGAAGAGAAGAGGTCTGTGAATGGAGCTTTGAGGAACGACACATATCATTTTTGTTAGACGTGGCACAGACAGACCCGAGCGTTTACCTGCAATCTCCTCCAGCGAGCTGGCCCTCATGTCCAGCATCACGGTTCCGTTCATGATGCAGCTGCGAAGCTCGAATAGACTGTGTAGAGACAGAGTGGCTACGTATGGTTTACTCCACCGCTCACCGCCATCCTCCACATCCTCCTCAAACTTAAGCCACCTGAACAGGGAAACAAAAAATAAACAAACAAAACATATTTTCTAATTTTCCATCCCATGGTTGTGACATTTTTCACATCGATTTAGGCCAAAGATGATTTGTTTCTGCGGTACGTGATGACAAAGTTAACATTTACACATTCTGATGGGCGTGGATCTATAACAACGGCCCCATTATAAAGGTGTGAAGCCATAAACAGAGTAGACGCCACAGCTGGCCAGACCCAGCCCATGTGGACAACTGCAGCGGTGTACCTGGCTGTCTCTTTCCATTCGGCGTCCTCTCCCTCCCTCAGACAGATTTCATCCAGCTCGGTGAATAGGGCGTGGGGGATGTGTTCCTCGTCGCCGTCCTCCGTCCCCAAGAGAAACTGCACCCTCTGAGCTGGTGTGTCTGCTGCAGCAAATGGGACACGGCGAGGACGGGTATTGATCAGGAAAGGAGGAGGACAAAAAGAAGCGTTCAACAGGAGAGAGGAAATATAGGAATTATAGGAAGTGATGTTCATTAGGGAAAACTCCAGTCCATGCTGGACACCTACTGTGAGAGGGGGATTCTCGTCCGTCGTCAGCCGTGGAGTCCCTCTCCTTGGACCTCTTCCTGTGTCTGTGTCCATGGTGGCGGTGACGTCGGTGCGACCTCCTGCCCAGGGGTACGTGAACCCCGATGTAGAGAGTGCGATGACCTGGAGGCAACACGGAGGAGACAAAGTCAGACTTTTCACTTTGTCCTGTTTTGATCTGACTTAAGATTATCTTTTCATCAGTGAATAAGCTTCTTATTTCTAGACAGAATAAAGAGCTTCTTCTTCGAGGAAACTGAAGTGTTGACATTTATGATTTTTATGGTCATTTTACAGAACACATAATGAGACCTAGACCCTGTATAATGCTCTCAACCAGTGAGTAATGAATAAACAATTGAAAATGTGAGCTAAAAGTAAAACAGTTGACATTGTTTTCTAAAAGCGATTATAAATAGTTGAAATTGTTCGTTAAAAGTAATAAACCGTTGAGTTATGACTCCAAGTAACAACAACTCTCTCTCTCTCTAGCTGTAAGTCAGTCACTTGATAAATGTGTTTTTGACTCGTACTTTGTGGCCCTTATATTCAGTATTGTTGTTGTATGTGTGGGGTTACAGCATGACACAGAAGGTTGGGAACATCATACGAGTAAAGATGACTCATCCATCAAGTGACTTATGCTAACATCAAAGTGTAGCTCTAAAATAATCACATATCCTCAGAGAGGAACATTTACTCTCCAAAAACCCTCGGCCATTTATATTTCCATGTTAATCTTCTAAGTCTTTCATTTCTTATAGGGTGAAAAAGAATCTGTCTGAAATGGAAACAAGGAGAAAATCTAATTGGAGCAAGAAGAAAATTCTGCCGCTGACAGACGAGCTACATCAGAGAAAATATGTAATAAAAGGTATTAGCAAACAATGAATACGTGTGGTAGGCGACCGCAAACAAAACCAGTCCCGGCTGTGTTCTTGTTGCCTGTCCTCATGATGAAGACAAGAGGGAAAAAAGCAGCGTAACATCCTATCAAATCTGCGTTTGGAAATAATTGCTTAGAGAAAGCAGCTGAAAATAGTCGACTAAAACAGCTCTAATTTTATTCATGCATATTGCTTCAATTATGTATTACTCATCGTGACAAATGCAATATTGTACAGTTGTTCCAAAACATGTCTCAGAAGGTGTGTGCTGATTTCAGTGCCTCTATATAGCGCAGCTATCAAGAGTCTTTCAGTGAGAGAAACTGCATTGAAACCATCCAAATAATGCGGGAACACAGTCTAACGAACCCTCAAAGAGAAAGTTCAACATGTTGTGGCTCATTTGTTTAATCAGTGAAGAAAATGTGTGAAAACAGACGAGATATGAAGTGAAGCCAGAGGTTCCTACATCACTTATTTCCCCACAATCTCCACTAACTCTCAACATAACTCTTGCGCTGATTGTGTCATAATTAGCATAAACCAGTGACCTTAACCTTTGACCTTACACCACCAAAATCTAATCAGTTCATCCTTGAAGTTGGGTGAATGTTTGTGGAAAACGTGAAGACATGTCCTCCAGGCGTTCCTGAAATATCGCATTCAAGACAATGGGACAGATGTACGGACAGCCTTAAAATATAATACCCACAGCCAGGAGGAGGCCACTAACTACACAAACCCCCAGCAGCACGTGGGAACAACTTAGTCAGTTAGGTTGGAACTAGAAAAGCAGCACTTAACGGTTAAACTGCCACCTCCAGACGCCACCTCCACCTCTGCCTCTGATTGAATAAGGAGCTTTCGTTCTCTCTCAGGATATTGAAATCGATTTTGAAATTGGACGACTTATAATTAGGTTTTTTTTTTCATTTTAAATGAATAGAACAAAGAATGAGACGGAGATTCTGAAAGGATATTGTACAATGTGAGCACGAGGATCTCCCTCTACTCTGTGTGAGTGAGTGTATGTGTGTGTGTGTGTGCGTGTACGTGCACACATGAGCGTGCATCCACAGGGTGAGCGTGAAGATAATCCGAGTTGACTCTCTCCTCTTTTATTGCGGGCCGAGCTGCCTGACCACTGCTTCCTTCCCGCCGGCCCTTGGCTCAGCGGCCGGACACAGACAAGACTATTGGACACCATGTTCTCTTTATCTGCCTATTACACCATATGAGGCGCCACAGAGTCCAGCATAATGTGACACCAAATGGATCTATACCCCGGGCAGTTTCATGCTTGGGATCTGTAATGTCGGAGGCAAAAAGCTTGGTTGATATTTGATGACGACTCAATGAAACACTGCAAAGGGTTCATTGTTAATAATATATGTTGTTCATGTTGTTGTTGACTTTATTTGCCCCTGATTTTGCCACTCGGGCAACATCAAACCTGCCCTATCTTCTCAGCACAGGTCGCTGCTGCTGCTGGGAGACTGCAGATACTAGGCTGTTAGGAAACCTCTTCTGCCTTAATAAATTAGGTAATTCTCTTCATTATAGTCAGAGCTGCTATGAGAAAGTATATTTTCTCAGCTGCATTTCATCTGAGGGGATAACATCCCAAGCGAGTGCCTTCAATTGTTTTCACTTGCTTGGAGACATGACTAATCACATTATAGCGCACTAATCAAATTCAAGCAATGCACAGAAATAACATGAATCACCTAAGAGTGCAACGACATGACAGCAGTTGAGAAGGCAGAGTCACTCGGTGCCTATCGCCAGCAGGACTCCAGGATAAAGGTTAAGTGAAGTCTCAGAGGACGAAATGAGAAAACGAACTATATGTCACAATATATTAGCGGTGTGGGAGCGAATCTCACTCTGTCAGAGCTCGTTCTGCTTTAGATTCACTCATCCAGAGCAAATCGCTGTTAGCATCAGGTAAATTATGTATGTTGAACGTAGAGAGGAGAGAGAGGAAAGAGGAGAGACTGACTGGCACACGACACAAATTTCACAATAAAAAGCCTATTCCAGCCGACAGGAACAATAAGGTAGCGGAGCAGCAGAGCTTTAAAGTTCATGAGTCGAGACTCGTGAGCGGAGGCCTCTACAAAAATAGCTCTCCCGCTGCGGGCCTGAAGTCCTGCTGATGTCATAGCGTCTTTTTCTCTTTTCTCTCAGTCAGTCCGAAGCTTGAATTCACGCAGCGGTGTGTGACGTGCTCAGGCCTGATGTTCCATATCCTCAAGTAAGAGCGTGTGTATTCATGTATGTCCTGCTTTACGTGGACATTTAGAAGAGTCAGTTCTGAGCGGCTGACATATGGAGAGACCTTATCTCCTCTCCTCAGTGAATGAGCTCTGCCTACTGAGGGCGTAAATCTTTAAAAACAGATCACATATACTGTTTTATTTTTTCAGAAGCTCAGTAACGGCCTTTAACAGCTGGTCATTGTAGTTTTTTTTTTTAGCAAATATTACTCAAACAGGACAAAAAAGCGCATTTACTGGGGACTATTTCCAGCGGTGGATTAACCCACATTTGAAGCTCTATCAGACTCTTTATACACAAACAGTACTTGTTAGTGAGATACATTCAAGTGTTGGTTTTGGAATATACTTATTCTTTAAAGCCACCACTAAAATAACATAACATAGCACAGAATGAAAACCACATGGAAGCGCAATAGAAACAGATCATTTAATGCTTCCCTTTTTCCTTTCATCCCGAATGTGAGTGTATGAGAATGAGGAAGCAGAAGCACGCTATAGCTCGGAGGGAGAGCAAACTTCCTGCGTGGCGCTGACGCAGTGTCGGCGTTACCACAGCGCCAGACAGAGAGCTACAGTCATTACACCGACAATCATCCAGACATGAGGGTGCTTGAGATGAAAGCAGCATCTCACCGGCAGAGTGTCACACTCAGAGAATGACATCTTTGCCGGCTGCCGCGGTGAACGTTGCCTGGCAACAAAAACGCAGCGGATGCTGACGGGGGAACCAATTCTTTATATTATCTGAGTATTGTGTGAGAAGGTATTTTTAATGTTTTCTGTATTCATGCGAGTTTCTTTTTACATTTAGTTTTTTCCACTTTTCTCCTTTTTCCCACACGGCACTTCCTTTACTGAAGTAAAGTTCCTCCTAATAAACCCACATCACAAGGTTTATACATCATATATTGAGGCGGTACGTCTCATTGTCTTCTGACTGTCCACTGGATCTTTGGCCCTGGGTCTTGGCTCTCAGGCTGCATGCAGGCAACCAACCTCACTGCTTTATATTCTAGTTCTTCTTCTCCATATTTTTCTGTGCATTTTGGCTTTCACTGAAACCTTCAAGGGATTGTGGTTTTGCTCAGGTCGACTGTTGATACGGACATCGTCATCTCTGTCTCCTCTACGCTGATGAAAACACATGAGCAGAGAATAAAAGCCTTCGCTCTCTGATGCTGCATGACTCACATCAAAAGCTAATATCCATTTGTAATTTTTTGTGTGTTTTCTGATGTCAAACACAACTATTATTTTAATTGAAATGCTGTTGAGCTGCATTATGGGAAATGTAGGCATCCAGCATTTTTGGAGGTTTTTCTTTTAATGTGTCACCTGCAAGTTCCCTAAGTGTGTGGAAGTGCAGTATTATATCAGTGTGTGCCTTTTCTTCATCGTGGAAATATGAACTGCAATGTTAATTTATGGGTTTTACCTTCTAGCTCTTCCTTCTCAAAGTTGGTGTTGAGCATGGAGCGTGTGCCCCCGCGGTCAACCACTGCCTCCTCATCAGTTCTCTACAGGAGACACACACACACACACACACACACACACACACACACACACACACACACACACACACACACACAGAGGTTGTTACTCAGCAGGTAAAACACAAAGTGTGCTACAATTTGCATACAGCCACATTTTTTAACAATATTCTCATATAGATTCACTCACATACATGTAGAAACAGACTGTGACGGAGTGTTAGGGATTAAAAATAGAGAATAAAGTCATAATATTACAAGAATAAAGTTGTAATTGTAGGTTCTGTGTTGTTTTAGAGGGGAAATATCAGAAGCTTTAAACTGAGGAACGTGGAGCATCCTGTGACGTTCTGCTTTAGCACAGGTTTCACTAATAATAACAATGTTATAATATTCCTAAAAAATTATATTTTTATCTCAAAATATTATTTTTTTAATCTTGTAATATTACGACTTTATTCTTGATATATTAGAACTTTTTATAATACTCTTATACTTACTCTTAATAACTCTTTATTCTTGTAATATTATTTTTCATTGAACAAAAACATGATGTAAATAACCATAAAATAAAACAATAAACTCAGATCAAACTTCACACTAAGTCACACTAAACAAACCGAATAATGAACACAAACACATAACATTACAATCAGGCCTGAAAACCTAAATAAGATATTAAAGGGAAAAAATAAATGAATAAGAAACAAAACAAATCAAAATAATTAATAATTCACATTCTGCATTGCATTTTTGTTTGTTTCTTTTTTAACCATCCTTTAAAATCAATCTTTTCCCCTGACTAAATAATCAAATCATTTCTGTTACATCATCAACAGTTAATCAGTGTTAATGTGATAGACAGGTTTCACGTCTGTCCAAGAAAACTTTCTGTCCTCACTGGAGCAAAATCCATATTTCATCTAGATGCTCCGAGTTACATAAGAGTAACAGCCCCCCCCCCACCTAGTGGGAGGATATGTCCTGAAATAAATACACACACACACACACACACACACAGAGAAACTCAGCATTTGTAAGGCTAACTTCCACTGACTGTCGCCATGGCAACAAAAAAAGGCAGCATTTTGAAAAAACAAAAACAAAAACAAAACAAAACAAAAAGGCCACACTCAGATTACTCAGTTTTTGAGTCACGGTTTTAACCAGAACGCTTCATTGTGCGTAAAAGCCTTAAAATCACGTCGACGCGCCGTCACCCACGTCACGGACAGGACGACGTCTGAGGGACCTGGAGCAGCGGCACGTGCTGGATGTGTATGTGGGGAACAAAGAGCGTCTCCTCGATTACGTCATACTGGACGTTCATATGGAAAGAAACAGGTTTGAATGCTGACGCTGCTTTTTTAATATTTAATGAAAGCACAGGCTCGTTATTGTTATGGCCCTCAAGCCATAGCAGCTCTATGAGAGGAGTCACAACAATCAACACTAATTAACTCAAAATATGTGTGTCACCGAATCAATCAATAAATCAATCAGACTTTATTTATATAGCGCTTTCAGAAGAAAAGCAATTAAGAAAAAAAACAAACCACAACACACACACACAACCATTTATACACAGAACAATAAATGACCAAGTAATAAATAAAAACAATAAAAATAAGACAATAATAACAGGAACTGAGGAAACGCTGAAGACTGAGATAAAGAAAATAAAACACTAGATGTATTAAAGTGAGTAAAACCAGAAATAAAAAGGTTGGATATTAAAAATCAAATAAGATAAAAAAATAAAGAAATAAAAGTATAAATAGAATAAATAACCAGAAATAAAAGCAGCATATTAGAAGGAAAAGTAATCAGAGAGTAAAATGACATAAAACAGATTAAAATATATAAATAAATAGAAAGATAAATAAATAGGAAGCAGCATGTATCCAGTAATGATCACTGAAGCCAGTGAACAGTGATATTGACAGTTTCAGGTCTGGTAGGAGGGACGACTTCCTGCGGACGCTCTTATCAAACTCACAACCTTGCGGCCCAGGGAGCTGCACGCCAATACCTCCGGGCAGCGGACAAACAGAACAAAAAGTCGTCATGGTGATGTCTGCACCATCACCCCCCATCCCTCCTCGACTGCATCTAACTCTCTCCTCACTTCATGTGTGTGTGTGTGTGTGTGTGTAGTGTTTATCATTTAGTTAGTCTGCCCTCCAGACGTCCTCTGTGAATTAGCTGAGGGTCTCTGACTGTGCACCTGTCCTGCATTAGCTCATTAATGTTGTAGCAGCAATTAAATTTCACCTTGTTCTTAGCAACACTAGTTATTGACGTTCCATGCTGCTTATTTTTATTTATCTTTTATTATTGTTATAAATTTTTACTACATTTATTCAACACTTACTTTGCAGATTCATCTTATTAATACAAAATATAATCAAGCGACTTTTATCTATAATCTACTACACATTATCTGCACGTTATCGAGAGCGAGATTAAGAAAAGTGAGTTGTAGAAGCACATTAAAACCCCATATCGCCCTGTTTGTATCTGTGTAATCTGACTGGGATGTCCTTCACTGCGCTTAATGTGATTGAAAAACATAAATAGTGCATCAAAGTGTTATGTAGCACAGTCGGCCAAAATGGTGGCAACAATTTTCTGATAAAAACTGATGAAAAAAAAAAAAAAAAAAGTGTCCAGCTGTGTTAATCCAAACAGCACGAGTTGTCTGGTGCACTGACATTACAGTAGAGGACCAACATCCCTTCACTTACTATAAAGACACATACTGAGCTCAGATGATGTGATTTTATCACTGACGTTTGGTTAAGTTTTACTTTATGTTCTAGGCGCCTGAATGTATCGTGTAATTATTGAGCATTAGAAAACGACTGAATACATTTTGACAACAAGTTATTTAACTGTCCCAATAATACAAACATAACAATGTAAAAGTAAGGGCCTGAATTCATTAAATTAAAGGACGACTGTGTAGAATTTAAGGGGAACTAAGAATCAATGTGTTTCTGTTCACTTCACCATGTTAAACCGCCGTGTTCCTACAGTAGCCCCAAAGGGTCAAAAACCAAGCTCCGGCTCTAGAGAGGACCTTTCTTTTGCTTTTACTGTCACCTGAAGGCCACCGTAGATTCTCCTTGGAGAGGGAGGGGTGATGGGACGGGATCTGCACCCTCACCACCAGATGCAACTAAATCCTGCACGGTGGTCCTTTAAGGGCCGAAGCCGAACAATCGAATTGAACACGATACTGAGACACGAGAGAGACCTTTTCCGGTGTCTGAAGAAGCTGGCAGGGACAGGAGGGAAATGTCCGCCATGTTTTCGGTGCTCTGTTTACCCACACATGCTCTTCCACAGTGGAACGTCAGGAGATAGACTACTTGTGTTTACGAGTGATAATGCTCCTAATAGGAACAGTAGGGGACTGTGTAATGAGGAGCACAAGGTTAATACTGTGGCTGCATCGACTACATCTGTTATGTGACTAAGGGTAGTTTAAAGCCTGGGCTGGATTTATGTCTGCAGGGAAGGGGAAGCAGTTTCAACATCGCCTGCGCTGGTCAGTGATTCAGAGCTGTTGGTCATTTTTCACCGCCACCCCAGTGATAATTACCGCCATGATGACCTCCTCCTGTCTTTTGTTCGCTGGTCCTCTTTTGATTTAAGTCCTGACCAGAACAACAGCTTGGAAACTAAAGTGAATCTCTTTTTTCCGTTGATATCTGAACTGAATTGTTCATAAAAGTCTTCAAATGTTCGTACGAACTGACTCCGGTGGCTGTGCTATTTGTTTTCCCAGCAGCAGACACACAGACAGGCGCCGTAAAACCAATGCACAGTTCTTCTTCTGGTGTTTTTTGGAGCACCTAGATGGAAGCAGATGCATTTAACTCGTTCCGCTGTCTGGTGTGACACAGCTTTAAGACGTAGAGTTTTCCAAATGTCACTGAAAAACTAAAAATCACTGAATAAATCTGAATAAATAACTGCATTTAATGATAAAAAGTCATAAGTGGCATGTGGTGTTCTCAAGCTGAAGATGGCTAACAGTGGCCACCAATCTCTGATCCCCAGTGATTAAGCAACTGGTGGTACGACACACACTCACACACACACACACACACACACACACACACATGGACAAACATGTGAGACACAAGCCAATGTTTCAATGAGGGCAGATGCTGAGGGCTGACATGGTGGGCTTACTGTATACAAGGGACATTAGGAGAAAGTACACTATCTCGGACAGACACGCACACACAGGCTCAGTTAAGGATTCATTACCAAGTCCCTGCAGACAGACTTCCCTGGATTTCCCCCTGGCAGATGGTTGATGGTAATCTGGAAGACTTTTTTGACATTTTGTGTATGTGTTAATTTCGCCATCGCCAAGTGCTTCTGCGACCCAGTTCCAACCCTCCACAGACAGACTGACCACTGCACTCGATCCATCGCACTCAAGATAAAGGGCGCGAGCAAAGAGAAAGAGCAGACTCAAGCCTAATAACTAATACATCTCTTGTCTTCTCTTTCGCCTGATGGGAGTGACAGGAGCGAAGATGTGAGCATTTGTGACAAGCCTGGGAGAGGAGCAGGGGGTCGACTCCGGGGCTGGCGCTGCCGGTTGGCCCTGCAGGTCCCCGGGGAAACTCCCCGGGGAGTCTCCCTGTCGACAGCCCATGAGAACTACACACATCTAAATTCAGTTGGTATGCAGTTCAAAGCTCCAGCGTGAGGAGACAACCAGATGGCAGGAGCATGAGGATTTCAAAAAATCCTCTGTAGCAAGGCGTTGAACTAAGACTGCGTGAAACGTCTGACACACGTCTAACAGGTGTCCGTCAGGTACATCTCTACATCGCCAGACAGACTCACTTATACACTGAAATCATGATGTGGAAAGCTTCCCATCATGCCCCAGGATAACAGGCTTATCAACCTGAGACTCATTTTATATGTAATGTTCCTGTATTACAGTTATTATTGTGAAGACTGATGGCGACGTTAGATAAAGATGAGACGGAAGATCC